TAGTGAAAATTTTGTGCTATAAAACATGAATTTTCTATTTATTTTTCATTGAACCAACTTATTGGAATATGGTGAGAAACAGATTCTCATTGAAAATAGTAAGAAGCTTTCTAATTTTTCCATATGAAACAATTATAACTTTTTTTCTTTTTACACTAATTTAATCAAAATATTTACGAGAATAACAACTAAACTTTTTACCATGGAAAAATGATGATTTTTTTAATTAGTAATTATTATAAGATCATTGTAAAATGAGAGTTTGAATTAAAACAAACTATGAATAAAAAAAGTATAGTACAAAATCAAACAAATGAGAGTATGACTGCACTTGCCAAACTATACATTGGAGGACTTCATGTACTTTTCCTTTCCTAAACTTACATATATAAACAAATTTAAAATTTAAATTAGTAATTACAGATCGAACATCGTTAAACTCTCTTGTTATACGTACTTTGAATGTCGTGTATATGCTTATAAATAAGTCCATTCTTTTTTTCTTATTAGTTGAACTATAGTAGAATGGAATAAATACATAATCATTATTCATATAGTCAATCGAACTAATTAATTTGAAATCGAAATGTAGGAGGGGAGGGACTATTGCTAAGGAAGACAAATTAAAGGTACAAAAAACTTAAGCCCGTGAAGGCTGCATGTGATCATAAAAGAGCTGTTATAATCAGTGGCCTTGACCACTTATACACCCAACCACGTGCCCTCTTTTTGGCTTTTATAATCAAAAAACAAGAAACAAAAATTAATAGTTCTTCTGGTAAAAATAATAATAGTCCTAACCTTAGCATATAATTGCTACTAACCTACTAAATATAATCCAACAAATACTATTTCTATAATTATTTTCTAATCATTAATTTCTGCATGAAAAGACACAAAGATACACTAAAGCAAAAATTTCCTTACTTAAACATGTAAAACGAAAATAATTTCGCATTGCAACAAAAGAGGCATTTAGTAGCAACAAATTTTTCGTTAAATGATAATTAGCAGGAATTGTCATTGTATTCACAATCGTTAAATTTTTTAGTGTTATTTAGATAGAGTCATTATAATAAACATCATTTTTAGCGGCAATAAATATGAACATTAACAAAGGGTACGAAAACCTTTACCAGCATTAGTTAGTTATTATTAGATCCAATTCACTATATGCTTTAGCGACATTTACCACAATTACCGCTAAATATCATTTTTAATATAATCATTTATTTATTTATCGTAGTGTTTTAAGTATGACAAGTGAACAAATGCATATCAAAATTTAATTTTTTGCATAATAATGCAAATTAATTTTCCCTTAGTTGCATGACAGTTGAAACCAACCAATTGTTTTCGTTTTTTTTTTTTTTTTTAGCTCCATATGCCAAAGATGGTGGATATAATAAAGGGTAACAAGTTTTTTTTTCAGCCAAACAAAAATCACATCAAGAAAAAGAAGGTTATTAATTAAAATAGGGGACCAAGAATAAATGACATAAATGTCTAGCATATAGTATATAATATTATTAAAACAAAAAAACTTTTTTGTTTATGCATGTACTATTTACATTTACATATTCTTTCCTATATAAACCACCAGATACCTCCTCTGTTGTCTAAGTAAAAAAAAATTCCTCCATTGTTTCTCTCTTCCAAAAAAAAAAATTATGGGAAGATTAAGCTTTCGGAGCGTAACGTTTATGTTCATCGTTGCATTTTTCGTATGGTCGTCGTTAAATGTTGAGGTTTGTAATGCAAGAAGAGGTAAGCATTGGAGACAACATGGTACAACATCCTCTGTTTCTTTGTACAAGAAGAAGGGAAAGTCTCATGGTAGTAATAACCACCACAAAAGTGGTGGCAAACCGAAGCCAAAATACGCGTCTCCACCACCAAGTACACCAATTAGTCCGCCAAGTAAAGGCTACGACAATGTACCTTCGACTAACATCTTTGATGTGACAAATTTTGGTGCTGTTGGAGATGGCAAGACCGATGATACTAAGGTAAACTCATGTTTTCATTTTCACCTGATAACTTTCACGTATTGTTACTGAACTTTATTCACTATATGAATGAGTACCTACATCGAACATGTAGTGTAACGTTGAAATTCAGTGACAATACATGTAATTCACTCAGAATTGGCTCTGTACCACATTTGAATTTTTGTTATTCTTGTTGGCGCTCAATTGCCAAAATGTCAGTTCATAGACATAGTAAATAAAGTTGATGAAATTCACATAAAGAATTTCATGTTTACAGGACAAAAAATTAGGTAAATGTGAGTTGTGACAATTTTATTGTTGTATTATTATTAATAAACTAACTTTGGGAGTACAACAATATATATATTTAATAAGGAAAACTTAATAATACATAAGATAAGACAGAATTGCAGGCAGTCATAGAGAGAAATGAGGTGGCTCCCACTTTTAACTTACAACTGAATATGTACATAGAAAAGGGCAGACCCGTGCACTAAAGCTCCTGCTATGTGCAGGGTTTGGGGAAAGGCCCGACCACAAGGGGCTATTGTACACAGCTTTACCCTGCATTTCTGCCAGAGGCTGTTTTGATAACATAGTAATCACCTAAATTGCAGATTTCTATTTTACTAACCATGAAATCTTGAATTCTAACAGGCATTTCAAGCTGCATGGGCAGCTGCTTGTAAAGTGGAAGATTCGACGATGATTGTTCCATCGAAATATGTATTCCTTGTAGGACCAATTTCATTCTCAGGTCCATACTGTCAACACAACATTGTCTTTCAGGTCAGTCAAAAATATAGATTATCATCATATAATGTATGAGTCAATGTTACTTGGTACATGTTTACTCTGCCTTTAACATATCTATGTCGAATGAGTGTCCATACTGTCTTCAAGAATTACATGATTCCGAATCATAATACTGATACTAGTTTCAAATACATCAGGAAGAATTCAAGAACCGTTACACGAGCCAGTCTTAAAGACTGTTTTGATGAATATGTTCTGTTTTGCAGCTTGATGGAACAATAATTGCTCCAACAGATGCAAAATCTTGGGGTTCAGGTATTATGCAATGGCTTGAATTTACCAAATTGGTAGGAATTACTGTCAAAGGAAGCGGAGTGATTGATGGAAGAGGTTCAGTTTGGTGGCTAGATACACCGTATGATGATCCTCTAGACGATGAATTGAAACTGATCATCCCCTTAAACAAGACATTATTGAGACATCCTCCGACTCCTGTAATTATATATCTATCTCACTTATGAATATCTAAATTCGATTTATTATCCTTTCTAATACTCTTTTGTGTGGCAGTTAAATAGCTCACTCAGTGGGAAAATGCCAAGCATTAAGCCAACAGTAAGCACAATTTCAAACACTTTATGTTTTTCAAGTTTAGACATTATGTTGTTCACTATATACTAAACGAAAAAGTTGAAATGCAGGCTCTTCGATTCTATGGGAGTTTCAATGTAACTGTAACAGGCATCACAATTCAAAATAGCCAACAATGTCATCTCAAATTTGACAATTGCATAGGGGTATTAGTAAACAATATCACTGTCTCATCTCCTGGAGATAGTCCTAATACAGATGGAATCCATTTACAGAACTCCAAAGACGCGCTAATTCGCAGTTCCAACATTGCTTGTGGTAATTACTATACTCAATGAATTCTTTTACAACAAACATAACTGATAACAGAGAGAACAATATGCCAAAATAATGTCCACATTGATAATAACTTAATAAGGACCACATTCTTCAATATGTGACTACCAACACTTCGACACGTAGCAACGACCTATCTTTAATGTATAATTTTTGCACCACAAGCTTTAAGACCCTACCTGCAAAAACTCATCTTGTCTATATAGTAAAAGAGTAAATTCAATATAGAGATAGACTTTTAGCCCCACACATTTATTTTAGCCCTGTTACTCAAAATATGACAGTAACCTAGATGACAACTTTATGATAGAATAAACACTTTGAGCATCAAAAGAGCTAAGCACATATAATGTCCTTCAATTTAAAATGCTAGTACACGCTAAAAATACTCATCGATGTGTTTTTTCAAATTTGTATAGGAGATGACTGTGTGTCGATACAAACTGGCTGCACCAACGTGTATGTACACAACATAAATTGTGGACCAGGACATGGAATCAGCATTGGATCACTAGGGAAAGACAATACAAAGGCTTGTGTTTCAAATATTACTGTCAAAGATGTTATTATGCAGAACACGATGAACGGTGTCAGGATTAAGACATGGCAGGTATGGTATTTTCATAACGACATTTTGAGTTCAAATGTATCTACAACGAATATTAACATTTGATTATACTTACTATGCAGGGGGGGTCAGGGTCAGTACAAGGAGTGTTTTTCTCAAACATTCAAATGAACGAAGTTCAGCTACCGATTGTAATTGATCAGTTCTATTGTGACAAGAGCAGATGCAAGAACCAGACAGCTGCAGTGGCTTTATCAGATATCAACTACGCAGGAATTAAAGGAACATATACAGTAAAACCGGTGCATCTAGCATGTAGTGACAGTATGCCTTGTCAAGACGTGACCATGATGAATATCCAACTAAAGCCAATACAGGAACGTTACCACATGTATGATCCATTCTGTTGGCAGACGTTCGGGGAGTTATATACTCCTACTCAACCTCCAATTGAATGTTTACAAGTCGGAAAACCAACGAGCAACAAGATTCAAGCAGATCATGATCAATGCTAGTATAGTAAGATACTAAGATTATTATTACCTATAATTATATATTTTTGGTGTCTTCATTTGTGAGGCCGGCATACTTTTGCTGACCCCTATTACACCATATATAGATTGATTGCATATTCTTAATGCATAAGAGTATAGAATTTTGTTTTTTCTCCTTTAGTAAAATTACTGTATGTGGTATTGAATTATATTTAATAGAGTGGATTTCTATAGTAAGGTATGAGAAGACACTTACTTCTGATAAAACTGTTAACTTGTTCTGCTACATTGACACCAACAGCATTACTAACATACCAATAATGATCGAAAACATAAGGAGTTGCTACTCATGATATTCTATCGAAGACACTTAGCGAAGAAAGTTAGTGTTGGCAAACATTGGTGGACCTCAGAATCTAACACTCCGCTATGTTTTCAAGAATTTTAACGTACCACCATAGACATTAACGGATAAGCAGCGTACTCTTTGGAGAAGCTAGAAGGTGTCATATTCACATACTCATATCTCCAACAGGACAACTGAAATCTCCATGCATATGCCTTCATTTAAAAGCCATTGATTGATCCCTATAACTCGCTTTATGAATTCATAAACCAGCGGACCTGCAAACCAGACAAAATCTAGGAGTTAACTAAGGTATTAGAGTAACAAACACAAATCAAATAAGGTGCATAATCTTGCACATAATATTGAGTAACCACTTTCACTCTGCTTACCTATTTAAGTAGAATACGAAAGCTTGTTTATGCAGACTTAAGCAGTTGTAGACGTTAACCATGGAAACTCAGACCCTTAGACCAGTTCATCCACCAGAATGAATTCTAATGATTACTCATTAATACTTTCCAAGAGCCCCTTGTAAGCAAGAACCTGTCATTTATATGTTCATTTCTTGATTGTGATCTATTTTTCCTTCGGGACAAAACATATGGAATTTTCTGTATGTCTAGTCTCTGCAAGACAAAACAAATCTTCTAATCAGCATGATCACGCGTGATAGCTGACATTACTTTATTTTCATAAAAATGAAAAGATCCAAGGTTCCTATGTCAACGAATGGAACTTATATGTTTCTAATGAGGGCTAAAATCGCGTAATCTGTGGACCACACCAACATTTCCCTAAATCGACATCAGTAACTGATCATTTCAAATGTAATCATCGAATTCAAACGACAAAAGAGGACTTCATTGAAAATACATAAGGATATATGGAAACAGGAGAAAAACAAACAGATACAACAAGTTGCTATTGCACAAAAAGTTAATTGTTTGCCTACATCCTAAAGCCATTAAAACTTGTACTTTGGTTTCATTTCCTCTATTTGTGCAACCCCGCGGGGGAAAGGAGGAGAGGAAGATTTTATCAGATGCATATAACAGGAAGAAGAAATTACTGAGAAATGAAAGGATATAAAACATACTTAGTTCAAATAGTTTCTTACGACTACAACTTCTCTCGACAAAAAATCTGTAATTGGAAATGATCAATAATATCCTCGATGCTACTAACAACATGTTTTTATAGTACAATGATGAAATAATCAATCAATAAACCATATCCCATTCTTTTAGTTGGTTTTCACTTTTCACATATATGTTGCTGGAGTACTAAAGTAAACCAAAATATAAACTGTCCTCTGCAATTCTCCGGCAATGTTATCTTCCTCTTCAAACTGAGAAACCATAGTATATGCATCCACAATTCAAATATATCGGGCTTTAAATATGTTATACATACTCTCCCTCCGTGTGACCAAGAGGTCACGGGTTCAAGCCATGTAAACAACCTTGCAAAAATGTGGTTCGACCCTTTCCCGGACCCCACACATAGTGGGAGCTTTAGTCCACCAGGCTGCCCTTTTCTATGCTCTCCCTCCATCATATGTATGATTACTTGAAGTTAAAGATTATTCTCAACTATGTCATATACCGTTCTGCCATAAGCGTATATCTTCAAAAGTTAGATATGTTACTCAAATTGAGGAAAAACTAGAACTTGCGGCATACTCAATGTGAACTTTTCTTTTTTCTGTGTTTAGAATTTACATAAACTGTTTTAGGACTTAATCTAAGTAAAACTAACAAAAAGGAAGATAATGTCAAAAAAATGTAGAGATGAACAACAAGTTTCCTCCACACTTAAGACTAAGTAATTCTCACATTCAGTTCTATTTGAACTTGTTACTTGTCAATTTTATCATTTGTATAACAAAGGGACTATTTTGATCATGGACAATAATTCTCAGGTCTTATTTTCCAAAGTATTGCTTCACGTGAAACAACAATATACACAGTGTAATTTCACAAGTTGGCTTTGAGAAGGATAGCGTGTACTCAGATCTTACCCCTACAAGGTACGTAGAGAGGTTGTTTCCAATAGACCCTCGACTCAAGTAAAAATAATACAAACTAGTTTGAAAGAAGAAACAACGGAAGTGAAGAAGCTAAGACAAAATTGCTAAAGAAAACATGACAAATGCATACTAAAAATGGAACAATCAGTACCACAAAATAATACGATAATTGAAGTACTAGAAACAGTCAATAGTAACAGATATGTAACAACAAGAAACTCCTAGAGTAATACTACGTACGACTACTAGTATGAAAGACTAAGCTAGTCAACTTTCAACTACCTAACTAAACCTTTTACATACCCTAATCTGAATCCTTCATAATCTTCTATCTAAGATTAAGTCATCGATAAGCTGGGAGCTATACAACTAACATTTTTATTTATGGGTTAAGGAATTAAAAACTCTTCAAACATCCTCTATAACTTGTTGTACATTGCAAATGTGAAAGGAATAAGATAAAGAAAAACATAAATAAAATCCAACATAGGATATATACTCATTGAGAAAATCCGAGGACAACAAATGTTCAAGAGTTGGTGCTGCAATTTTAATAGGCTGATTCTTAAACATCCTAATTGAAACTGACTTGATCCTTTGAAGATTTAGCAGCTCAATCTTTTCCAACCAGGAACAATACTCAAGGATGAAAGAGACAATCAAGGAAAAACATTTTTTTATGTGTTAATCATTGTCGTTTGGTTCAAATACAAATTATTATGATGGAATTAGGGCTGTCAAAATGAACCTAAATACAGGTAATTCGTCCAGAATATTATGGATTGGACTCAAGATAATTTAAAGTTGGGTCAATAATTAATATACTTTTAAGTATTGTGTATTAAGTTTTGCTTATATTTATAATTCGACTTTTTTGATTTTTTTTTCTAAATCTGAAATCAAATTTTAAAAAAACAGATAGAGTAAATTATTAATCCAAAACTAAAAAATCAAATCCAATTTAGAATTTGGTTCAATTTGATTTGATTTTTTGGTTTAAACCAAATAGTGCACTCCCCTAATTATTATTATTGTCGTTGAGTTTGAATTTTACAGCATCAATTAATAAGTCACGTCTCCATCTCGAAATTGATCAATCAGGACATTACTTTCATCTCAAAGCAGTTGACATTACTTATTACTCCATAAATTCCCAATACCATCTACCCTTTAAGAGATTATGATTTAAAAAGAGTGCCTAACTAAGCGTTTGATTATGAAAATAAAAAATCAAATTACTTTATTTGAAATTTTTAAAGTTGGAGTCTAGTTGTCTTTGACAATAATTTTGCAGTAAATATTTAAAATTTAAATGTATTTTTTTAAAAATATAAAATATTATTTAAACATGAAAAATAATTTTAACTAAGGTTATTTTATGAAAAAAAAAAAAAAAATTGGATATTTTTAAACACTAAAAAATAAAAAGTAAAAGTGAAAACAAGGGTTTGTCTGTTCTCAAAGTTGTTTTTGGAATTTTCACCATCAAACACTATTTTTCAAATAAAGTAAAATAATATTTCAAAAAAAGTGAATGATATAACACCATTTTATTTTGTTTTGGTTGTCACTCAGAGTGTTCGACATCCACATTAGAATTCGATTATTTTGAATTTGTACCGTTTGAACCCTCATTCGGAGAAATACACTTCCTATCAAAAATAATTTCATATCCAAAACTCGAACCAACAACGTTAATCTATCTTAGCTTAAGAAAATAGTAATATTGCCAAACTCCAATAGGCATAGGCAAGAAAAATAAATACACATAGGATTTCTAGCATCATTTTAGCTCCCTAAAATTCCAATGCAAAACCCAATAATATAGCATCCATCTTATCTCATCTTATCCCAATAAATCAAAAACACACACATCAAAATATCATATATTATTGTCACTCCATAACACAACACAAAATTACTCACTTTGAAAAATAACAACATTTTTTCATTAATTACCAAAAATGTCAAGAATGTCAGAGAAGGACCTCAACACTATGAGGAGGAGAGTGGCATCAGTTGCAAATCATTTATTGCCAATTCCTTTAGCTCAAAATGTTGTTTCTTCAATTGGGTCTTCCAATTGTAGCTCCTCTTCTATGAATGATAATTACCATAAAATTCATGGTGAAGTCCCAAATCATGAACCTGTTTGGAGACTTATTCCTTCTGATGATGAATCTGGCAAAGAGTTTACTGATATTATTTATGAGAAAGCTGTTGGTGAACCCATTGCTAAGGTTTTGTTCTTACAATCTTTACCCTCTTATGTGGAATTCTTAATTTTTTTTCAAACTTAGTAGTAGCTGTATTCTAATTTATGTGATGTAGTTTGACTGAACACAGGGTTAAAGAAATTGAACTTTTGAAATTTATGGTCTAAAATAAGTGATACATGTTTGTGTGGCTATAAATTATTTCATTATGATAAAATAAATATTTTAAAATTAAATTGTTATTAAATATAGAAATGTGTTATTCTTTTTTGAACAGTCTAAAAAAAGCGAGTCATATAAATTGGGCTAGAGGCAGTGATGTTTATTGATGGCATAATAAGAGTCACTCAAACTTGGCCTCAGTTGACAAATAAACCTGTATGCACATCTATACGCCTCAACTCATCTCTATTATATTAGTTGAATACTCTAACTTACAAAACAATAATCTAGACATCTCCAAAATTTATGTGTCACGTCAGTGGCAACAGATGTCCACGAGTTGGAATGTTTAGTTGTCGGTTGAGAGGTGTCTAGATGTGCACTCTCAAAGTTGGAGTGCTTACTTGTGAGCTGAAGTTAAGTTTGAATGTGTGTTTATGTATTATGCTTGATTTGTGAACACCCTTTGCAATGGAACATAGACCATAAAGAAAATAGAATAGTGTGCTTCAAGAATGTGAAAATGAGATATTTTTAGTTCATTTAAGGTGAGAAAGTTAGTAAACTGAAGCTATTTAGCTGAAATTGAGTGCTTCATCGTTCCAATTTTTGTGACCTTGTTTGAATAGGAAGAGACTTTGAGAAAGAAATGAAGACTTTTGGAAACTTGTTGTCTTAACACTTCATAATAATTGAGTGGCTATTTAACTTTCTCATTAATGGTAAAAGAGGAAGTTTAAGTTAAATTGTTTCTAAATTTAGAAAGTTGTCATTCTTTCTTGAACGAACTAAAACATAAATGTTGGAACAAAGGAGTATTACTTTTTAGATGCCTGGTCTTTACTCAAAGCTTGAGTTTAGACTAGTGAAAACCATGTCTTGAGCTCCATGGAGTTTATGTGATGATTCTCAGTTTGCCTATAACAAAGACTTCAAGGATGACTGTTTACATTTGTAACATGATAATGGATAACAAAGTGCTAAATGGTAGATGATATTGTATTTCGCTGCTATATTGTGAAAAGCATATTGCATTAGATGACCCCTCAAAAATACATTCTGATGACTAATGCCACGGATAAAGAAGGAAAAATCATATATGATTAATATGGGCGCTTTTCTCAATCATTATCAGCAACCTTGGGTTCTCACTTAGCAGCTACTAGTAACACGGTTTGAAGCTTCTTTGTTGCTGTTAGTACTTACAGGTGACCTGAATTAATAATGTAAGAAACTCAGAAGCTGGAAATCTGGAGCTTTAGTTTAAGTCATATTGTTTTCTTTCCTCTTGCAGATAACCATCAATAGACCAGATAGAAGAAATGCTTTCCGACCTCACACCATCAAGGAGCTTATTCGTGCATTTAATGATGCCAGGGATGATGGTTC